GTCATCCATAAAATTTACTTGGTGTGGCCTTACGTCTAAAACCATACACCAATAGAGAACCGTGCCTTCACATAGAGAGAGTACAGAGTGCTAGGAAACTATAGAATATGTCATAGTGGTATTACCAGGAAAGAATGTACAGATGTTTTAAACATTATTATACCAAACAGAGATATTTCTATTTCCGATCGTAAGAACGGTGGAAGATAATAGTATATTATATGATTATCTGTTCTGTAAGGTTGAGGTATTCGGGTATATCATTTTTCTATGTAGCCCCAAATCAGCAGATTACACGTTACTTATGTCTCTAAATTTATCAAGTACAATTCTAAGTTTTACAGTTGCATCAATATACACTGAGAAAAATGTACGGGTTATGTATAGACAGAAAACATTTATGATTTATGTCAGATATATTTGTTCAAGTTATGGATGTGGTACATACGAAGGAGCTTGCCTCTTGTGCCTAAAATAATCTTTAAACGGGTTGGGTAACAGTGTTTTTATGTTGTGCTGGGAGTCTGGTGTTCTAAACTGCTGATGAACTGTTTCGGTTTCAATCACACAAACACGTACGATCGGTGGAGAAAGTTAACGTTTACACAGAGAAATGATAAAGTGTTTCTTCAACATTTGCTGTGTTTGTATTTTCTTGTTTTCTTGTGTGAGGAAGGGAAATTAAAAGGGGAAGAATTTTTTACCTCGACAAAAACGAGGGTACTTATATTGGCAAGTCTGAAGATCATGTAAAAGGTATTATACGATGTTTTCTTATTATTTCCATCATATCTCTGACAGTACGTAATATATAGACCGTCTACCGTTCATGTTGAAAAGTCGTGACGCGATGTTCAAACTCAAAGCTCACAATCTCCCCCAAGCGGTACACTACGGCGTTGCACCTGTACTGTGCTTGGTACTAGTATTATATATGACTTAGACTAATACGGTTTGAGACGACAAAGCACCAAGATAAAGGAGACTCAGACGTATGCATCATATTCCCTGGCAGCACAATAACTTGGCCCAGTCAACTTAAAGGCATCCAGTGCGATTTCAGAGCAGCAAAACGAAATATTCTGAATTATCCAATCTTTATGATATGGACACATATTTCTCCACATTAGCACATTTCAATCAGTATTTCATACTTTGGGTGTCTAAACTGCATAAACAAGCCCCAACATTAGTCCTTTACTTCATGGGTGGTACCCTAAGAATAAGCCAAGGGCCCTTCCAGTAACCATATCGTTTCCCGTCATAATTTTGGGTATTTTTGCTCCATGCGGGTCAATATACTAGTACATTGGGATGGTGTATAGTCGGGAATGCCCGCTACCGCCGTCGGGAACGTTCGGTAGCGTCACGATTACCGAAGCGCGACCGAAAGCGGAAAGGCTACCGAGCGTTCCCGACGGCGGTAGCGGACATTCCCGACTATATACAAGATGGCCGCCCGGTTTGTAAATGTTAACCGCCGAAATGAGTCCTTAGCATGGTTCACAGAATTTATCATAGCGCAGTCAGAATCGGGCAAGCCAGGCTAAAATATACGTCGTTGTAATCCTTACAAGTCAGGGAACCTCGGGAAGTTCACTTGAAGATCACACTTGTACACAAAAACGAGCTTTGTAGCGTCAAAGTTGACCTTTATTCGCTAGCTAAGAACTCATTTGGGCGTAGGTTTTCGAACTGTATGGGGGTTTCCGTGATACCGCTAATCCCATCTACTTCCGGGTCACGGCTTACGAGGTTCGGTTACTAGTATATTACACGCCGAAGAGCGAAGGAAACGTTGCGGAGTAAAATTTCATGAAAAAAAGCTCTTAAAAGCCGCGCCTATAAGGTTTCGCAACTTCTTCCCAAAAATCCAATTACGCTTTGGCGAGAATATTAGGGTCTGCCCTCCGTGTCTATCGTCGGGTCGTCCTCGGAGTGCTTTTTGTATCATTTCAATGATACGTGTAACTACCTAGGTTTTCAAAAGTCGGACTGACTTCCAATATAGTAACCCCACTATCATATCTACGCATGTGTGAGACGATTAAAAAAATCCCTTCACCCTTTGGGGAGTACTCTTTCTCGCAAAGGCGATTATGATCTGCCCTCCGTGTCTATCATATAAATGATACACGTAAACGTCGGGTCGTCTTCGAAGTGCTTTATGTATCATTTCAATGATACGTGTAACTACCTAGGTTTTCCAAAGTCGGACTGACTTCCAATATAGTAACCCCTCTATCATATCTACGCATGTGTGAGACGGGTACGTGTACCAGCAATCATTTAAATAGCCAATAGGAGAGTTACCACTTGGCTCTTAAAAAGCTTGTTCAGAATGATTGGCTAGGTGTATTTGAGCTTGACAAACCTTCTCTGTCCAGAAGAGATACGGTAGTTACACGTATCATTGAAATGATACAAAAAGCACTCCGAGGACGACCCGACGTTTACGTGTATCATTTATATGATAGACACGGAGGGCAGACCCCAATATACTCGCCAAAGCGTGATTGGATTTTTGGGAAGAAGTTGCGAAACCTTATTGGCGCGGCTTTTTAAGAGCCAAGTGGTAACTCTTCTATTAGCTATTTAAATGATTGCTGGTACAGTGTACCCGTCTCACACATGCGTAGATATGATAGTGGGGTTACTATATTGGAAGTCAGTCCGACTTTGGAAAACCTAGGTAGTTACACGTATCATTGAAATGATACATAAGGTACTTCGAAGACGACCCGACTTTTGCGTGTATCATTTATATGATAGACACGGAGGGCAGACCTTAATCGCCTTTGCGAGAAAGAGTACTCGCCAAAGGGTGAAGGGATTTTTTTTATCGTCTCACACATGCGTAGATATGATAGTGGGGTTACTATATTGGAAATCAGTCCGACTTTGGAAAACCTAGGTAGTTACACGTATCATTGAAATGATACAAAAAGCACTCCGAGGACGACCCGACGTTTACGTGTATCATTTATATGATAGACACGGAGGGCAGACCCCAATATACTCGCCAAACACCAAAGCGTGATTGGATTTTTGGGAAGAAGTTGCGAAACCTTATTGGCGCGGCTTTTTAAGAGCCAAGTGGTAACTCTTCTACTATTTAAATGATTGCTGGTACAGTGTACCCGTCTCACACATGCGTAGATATGATAGTGGGGTTACTATATTGGAAGTCAGTCCGACTTTGGAAAACCTAGGTAGTTACACGTATCATTGAAATGATACATAAGGTACTTCGAAGACGACCCGACTTTTGCGCAGACCTTAATGGCCTTTGCGAGAAAGAGTACTCGCCAAAGGGTGAAGGATTTTTTGGAAGAAGTTGTGAAACCGTAACGGCTTTGCAAAGGTCACCTTTCTAGTTGATGATTATTTTATACTTATGTTTAAATCATTTCTGTATCCCACGTACTCATGCATGGTGTCCTATCAGCCTGTATGGGCTGGGCGACAATATTTATACACTTCTATGCACTCCGAAGAAGCCTGACTTTTACCTGTATGATTGCAATTATATACACGGGAGACGATTTTGCAACGATTGAGATTTTTAAAGTCGGACTGTCTTCATGCTGTCTAACAACAATTTTGGTAAAAATTAGGTAATTTTCGGGGCGCAATGTGATTCAGGTGAAAGTCGTGTTGTCGTCGACGTGTTTGCAACGATACAGGCAAAATGTATCGGCTATCGAATGATTGCTAGCGTAGTCGTTTTTACACATGTGCATACATGTCAGTGGCTCGTTCAGTTGAAGCAAAAGAGCCATATATATAATTCTTGAGCATTCTTTCCCGAAAGGGTGAGTATTGCGCAGTACACTGCCCTTGGCTTGGCAGCGGCCCTTCGCCGGGTAATGACGTCGCTGGACGTGACCCGGAAACAGATGCAACCAGATACCGCGAAACCCCCATAGGGTGCGTATTTTGACGGAAATCCAATGGCGGAAACCTCGCCGAAAAATGGAAATGAGTCAACTTTGACGCTACAAAGCTCGTTTTTGTGTACAAGTGTGATCTTCAAGTGAACTTCCCGAGGTTCCCTGACTTGTAAGGATTACAACGACATATATTTTAGCCTGGCTTTCCCGATTCTGACTGCGCTATGATAAATTCTGTGAACCATGCTAAGGACTCATTTCGGCGGTTAACAGTAAACTTGGTGAGTTTAGTACTTTTCGGTCGCGCTGTGGAATATTTAGGCTGATCTGAACATCGACAACCCGGCCAATTGTGGGTTTATATTGTAGGGAAGCTCGGGACAGCAAAAAAACGGGGCGAAAACGGAGCATCGGGCAGCCAACGGGAAATGTGCAGTTCTGCCAATGGATCTTTCCACGACCGTCTTGCTGAGGGTAATGCAATGTATAAAGCCCGAATCAAGAGTCGCCACGGCTAAGCTTTGGTAGGTTTTCTGGTAGGTTCTGAAATGCCCCTAGTGCTACAATGTTCAATATCTTGTCACTAATTTGCAGTAGAAATGCAGCTGATAGTGCACTTACGATAACTTGAGTTCTCTCGAGACCACCGCCATCTTTTCCCGTCGCGCAGAACACAGAAATTCATCCGCGCCTCCGTACTAGTAGTCAATAGCTTGCGGTGCGGGTATAAAGTAGTGCGCCACAGTACTTGCAAAAATTATATATAGATGAACACGAAAGCATGGTGGAAACTGAACTGAATGAAAAATATTTTGTTGGCTTGACTGATTTTTTTCTGGTCGGCTCTGATGCTATATTACAGTTCTGAACCTTGAATGATAACACATAACTGGGTGTGAGAGTGCAGTGTAGTGTCTGAGTGTCAGTTTTCTGTATCATTAACTAATAGTACAACATTATATACTATTCATGAATAACACCACCATCCCAGTATATACACAGACAGCTACAATGTCAAGTAGCAACTAATTTATTGTGTTCAAGTGCCATTAGTTAGCTTTTTGTGACGATCACAACTACCGTACATGACGTGTACCAAGTGTAGAACTAATGGGGGTAACCCTGTCCAGGCTGGGGGTATCCAGACCCTGGGGCGGGGGGATAGCCCGGACCTCCTGGGGGAGGATAGCCGGCCCCCGGGGCAGGAGGATAGCCGGTTCCCGGGGCAGGAGGGTAGCCGGCTCCCGGGGCAGTAGGGTAGCCGGTCCCTGGAGCAGGAGGATAGCCAGGACCGCTAGGTGGCGCCTGTCCCGGGTAGGCTGTCGTGGCTTGTCCCGGGTACGCTGTGTTGGTTTGTCCCGCGTAGGCTGTAGCAGTTTGTCCCGGGTAAGTCCCGGGATAGGTCCCGGTGGTACCGGTGGGTGCAGGGGCTCCTGTGGCGGTCTTGCCCCGGTCAAAGCCCTGCACATGAGAAGAGAATAGTTAAAGTCGTCCAATGCAATTTCAGTTTGGCAAAACTGGCAGAAAATATTCTGACTGAGAAAATCTGTTTGATATTGACATTTGATATATTAATTTCTTATTACATTTTCGTCATCATGTCACAATTGCCCAAAACAAGCTACGTGAGGTGTCTCTTTATTTTTTGGGGGGTGATACCAGTGTACGATACAAAACATGCAACCGTTTCCGTCAGTGACATTGCATTTTTGTCTCACAAATATCATGTCAACATGCTGTCTGATAGGTTTGATTCAACTTACTACATTAAAGAGTGACCAGAAAATTGACTTTGAAAACCCAGATTTGCCACCTTAAAATTGCATTGGATGCCTGTAAAGTAGTCTTAGTAGTCTAAAATTAATGATATGGTAAAAGATCGTTTCTGTTTTGTCCCTTACCGCTCCCATGGCATGTGCCATAGCGTTGGCGCCCTGGACAGTCGCGCCCATCGCAGCCCCCATAGCGGCACCCATCCCCTTCAGCATGCTGCCCAGATCTGGGCCCTGTAGGAGGGAAACAAGAACAGGAGTGAGACTGTCAGCGCTATAAGGCCCTATAACAGTTTTGAAACATGGTGTCCAATCTATCGTGGCTGGGACAGGCTGTCTTCAGGGCTCTAATAGTTTTCCTCCGCCCAGTACACTGTGACAGACCGCCCGGTCGGACCTTTGGTAATAGAGTTTGGCACGCCGGGAGTTAATTTGCCCTACCACGAATATATGATCGTGGTGGGCCTAATCAAACTACCGGGGGACCCTAGCTCAGGCGGCCGGGGAAGTGTTTCATCAGTCCCGAAGAAAACCCGCCCCAACCACGATAGACTGGATACCAGGTTATATAACAGGTGGAGGTTGAGTGATTTGTACATTCCCTATGCACTTTCTTTATCATATACCTACCAACATACATGATCATTCAAACACAATGCAAATACAAGTTTCTGTCTGTTAACAAAGCAACAGGTTCCGTTTCCTCACCAGGAATATTACATTTGCAACCAAGGAATTGCCATACCCGTATATGTATGCCTGATGCAGCGGGGCGTGTGGTTGGAGGAGCGCTGGGGTAACCGACAGGTGCACCTGCTGGATACACTCCTCCTGCACCGCTGCACTGCAGAGTGGGGCAAAATCGATAGAGGTCGCTTCAAACTGGATGCCATTTTATCACCGCCAAGGTGTGTGTGTATTATGTGTAAGTCAACTACAAACTATTTCCGTGAATTATGGTTGTATGACAAAACGTATTATGTTTACTTTCGCAAGAGGAAAACATATCGTTTTTGCTCAATTTCTTCTCCCGTTCCAAACGCATAAGGTCAATGACCTGGACCAGACGTCTGTCACCATGGTAACTAGTGTTGTAGCAGTCACCCTGTGGTGTTGCAGCTTACCCTGTTTAGGATCTCCATGGCCTTCGTCTTGTCATGGCCGAAGCTGAAGGCCTCCTGAACCAAGTGACCACCGGTAGTGACGTCAGTGATGTTGCTGCAGAGAAAAGTACCGTTCATGTCATGACGATCATGATTGGACGATGCTTCCTACCTGCATCTGAGTAGTAGTCTGTCATCGAACATATAGAATGCGAATAGAGGTTCGTGGGGTCGTGTGGCGTAGCGGCAGAGTCCGCGACTCCGAACCAAGAGGTCCTGGGCCCTTGGTAAAGGCACTTTACACGACTTTCCTCACTTCGCTCAGGTGAAAAATGAGTATTGTATTGTTCCCTGTGTTGTTGGCGGCATTGATATAAGTTGAAAAAACTTGAGTGTGCCGTCACCACTTCTTGTGATTTTATGTTGGAATATAAAAAAATTGTACGGTTGATGATCGAAGTGGGCTAACTGAACTCACTCCTGCAGTGCAAAACCTACCAGGGAGCCTAGTTCACAAGGCGGTTAAGAGCCCCTGCAGCCCCGAAAAGAGACACCCCCCAACCACGATAGACTAGACACCAGGCTATACCCACCTTTGTCAAAACATATAATAATTTTTGTGTAAAAATATTTGACGGACATGCAGCCACTACCTGGTTGGTCGCTATTTTTTTTACTCCAACATTTCATGACTAGACATGGTGACGGCAAACTCAAGTTATATCAACGCAGAGGACAAATACTAAATAGGACAAGCAATAACTCATTTTCACCTGAGTTAAGTGAGGAAAGTCGTGTAAAGTGCCTTTCCCAAGGGCACAAGATTGGTGGCATGTCAGGACTCGAACCCGGGACCTCTTGGTTCCGAGTCGAGCACTCTGCCGCTACGCCACACGATCCCACTTCATCGGTCGCTATCATTGGCGGAACTGCTAATGGGATCTGTCTATTACTTATGCCTTGACCATTTCTCTGTGTTTTTGGTAGTTTTATTATAATGTCAAGTACGGAACGTGTGTTGGACAAAGTTCGTGTCGGTACTGACCGGGCGACGATCTCCAAGATCTTCAGCTGGGTGTTGGAGAAAGGCGACGTTTCCAGGACCTGAGCTGCTTCTGCGCAGGTCATCGGGTAGAGCCGCTATATGTACAGCGACGTAAAGAGAGACGGTACATGTAACACAAAGTGTTATCTCTGATTGGCGGATGGGTTTCCGCCAATGAGATATAGGAGGTTAACACGTAATATTTAGTAGCCACTCCAGCTCAAGAATTTTTTTCAAATAACTTTGTTAGCATTCTTTAATGTTTAATAAATAAAAAAAGGGTTACAATATCGCTTTAGTTCTTCCCAATTTACAAGCCAGCCAATCAAATAGTACCACTTCCTCATGCTGATTGGACCTCAGTTGCTAAAGTTCTGTATTATCAAGAGGACCACGTGAGTAGGTACTTTGCTTTGGAGTCATTACCTGTTTTGTCGCATCTCACTTGATCGCATACATAACGCCAGTACAGTTGTGTTTCCCGGGATGTAAACTGGGTATATCTTTTTATATTTCTAAAAAGAGTTTCCATGGACTGTTAATAAGAATATCCAATACTTACTCCTTGTATTGCCTGGACTGCTTTCAGTTTGTCGCTGTCGTGTGGGAAAGTCTCAAGAACACGAGCCAACTGAAGCACAGACAGATAGAGGATGTAAAGACCACGTCACTGTGAGATGGCTGACAGAAGGACCTCATGATTTTGTACCAAATTCTAGAAAACAAGAATTCTGAGATCTCATACCTCCATGAAATATGATTTTATGTAAATGATTTGTTTCATTGAATAGGCAATTAATATAATGTAGTCTGTAATATATGGTGTTCTAAACTCAACTTACAATATTTTGCGTGTCAAACTCCTATCCTTTGGCAATATCTAATTTCAACATATCCTCAATAATTATGCAAATTGCCTCTATATTAACATAATATATGCATAGTGTTGTTAACATTTAAGTAACCAACACATGTCACAAGGTATAGAATTGCCATCATTCACCATTACGAAATCGTAAAATTTTTGCATTAATTATGCAAATTAGGTCATCATTTGCATAATTGGTATCTGTGGATGCTCTATCTGCCATAGATTACATATATTACATGTATGAAAGTACTATAATGTAAAGGTTCCGGGTCGGAGTTTAATTCTGACCAGGGTTCCAAATAGTGCGCAGTAAATCGCCGGATCTGCGAGGTTGTCACGCTAGGTTTGGCTCCCCATAGCTCGGCGATCGCTGTAGATTTTCAACTAGGTTTTGAATTGATCAAAAAGCCTTGGGATTGTAGTGTTTTTCGGCGCGGTGAAGTTGGACGGCCAGCGAAGCGTTTTTGGTATTAGTCCGCGAGCAAGGGTGATGCGGTTTGTCGCCTGATGACCCAAATAGCTGCGTTCTATGTGGAATTTCTAGGGGTTCGCGTCACCGGATTTTGCGAAAAACTTATCGCAACAACCTAAATTTTTTTTGTGTTTTTCAGAAACAGAAAGTAGTAAGCTATTTCAGCATATAGGCCGTTAGCCTGGGAAAATTCGTTTTTTCCAAGCAGGTCCGTTGAAAAAACTGCAAAAAAACTACATTTTTCGTATCCAAAATTTACGTTTAACTACAGTTTCTACCCAAATTATAGAGTCGACGGACAATAACCAAAATTGTATCGGAAGCCGGCTGGAAACCTCCGTTGACTGATGTAATGAGATTTCCCGTCGTACTTTTTTTGGCGGAGTTATAGCCCTTCGGTTTGAGGGTCTCTGCCGGATCCAAAATCGTGAAAAAAACTCCGGTCCGAGACCTAAAACACTGTCATTATAGAATTTCTCATTAATTATGCAAATTAAGTCCTCATTTGCATAATTTACATTTAATTATGTACATATCTCTCTCAGCTACCTACCTACCAAAATTGATGAAAATATATTGTTCCTATGTGGAGTTATTGGCTTTTAAAGATTTCGCCCGAAAGTCCCCTGCAGTTCCAGAACAAGCTGGTAGGGGGACCAAACCCACACCACTTACTCCTGATAGGAAAAGCTATCTGTCACCAAAAATTCAAGACCATAGCATGTTCAGGACAAAAGATACAAAAACCGGAAGTTCTGCTGCAGTACCAAGGTCATCCACCAGGAGGCCCATATTTGACCTTGACCTTCGTCTTCCTAAGACCTACCAGCATACCAAATATCATCACAATCCATGAAGGCGTTATGAAGTTATGCTGCGGAAACACAGACACGCCAAATCATGAAACAAATACATGAGATGACCAAGTAAGCCAACACATAGATCGCACTAAATTATCAACTTACCTGATGACCGTTGAAATATCCCTGTGAAGAATTCAGTACCGACAGCTTGTCACTTGCAAATGTCGCCTGAAAAACAAAATTCTTTATTCTTAAACTGTATAACTTTCCAAGATAGAACAATAGATGAGGTCACGTAGTAGGTCAACCAAGGTCAGAACGAAACATGTAACAGGTCAGGGCATTCCGAACGCCATGTAACTGACCTGAGGGCACTATGCACTGGAAAGGTATATAAGACTTGAAGAAGCCACCCACACAGGCGAAAACGGTCGTCAGGCTAAATAAAAGTTCTAAACGGGAACTATGCAGCTCCAGATGTCTTACTGAGGGACGACTGCGTGTGCAAGATGTCGGTTAGCTTGAGGAATGAGTCCCCTCTACTATATGTTTCCAAGATAGCACCCATAGGATTTGTTATTAGTAAGATAAGAAAGTACTAACATGTTTTGGATAGGCTTATACTTATCTTACAAAGAGTAAACACTTAGCGGGTTGTTTTATTTGCATATTTGATTGCCCTTCCGTGACCGGGAGACACTATTGATTATGCGACAGTACTAGTACTTTGCACGCCAGGACAGAAGTCAGTAACATGCAACGTTTATTATGTTTATCCAAAAACGATTAAGGTACGGCATATCAAAATTGCTGCCTTCTTTTGAGAACATTTTCAGGTAGTTAGAAAGGCTTCGAATTGTCCAATCGAAACAGGTACCATCGTGACAACATGCAAGGCTTATTACGTTGGTCCAAAAAGGGTTAAGGTACGGAATGTCACATTTCTGCCTTCTTTGGAGAACAGTTTCAGGAAGTTAAAAATTCTTCTTTTGTCCAATCGAAACGGGTACTAATCGTTTAGGGAAGTGTGCTTCCCTTTTTCACATACTAGATATGCATCACATATAGTTTGTATGATCTACCTTGGCGGTCATCGATGGCCCCGCCCACATACGTTGTACGATCGCACTGAGTCGTACATGTGTCCTTAAAAAATTGGTATCCAGTCTATCGTGGTTGGGAGGATTTTCTTCGGGGCTGCAGGAGCTCTTCCCGCCCGCCTGAGCT